CGGACCCGATTCGACCGCGGGTACCACGGAGAATGGATTTTTGAAATTTAATTATTCAATCAACATCGAAAACACTTCGGCGTCCGGCGGAAAATTAATATTGCTTTATCACAATCGATTCGAATATTTCACTCGAAATAATAACAACTCGTTTACATTTGCAGTTAGACAAACATTCGGAAATAAAGTTCATTACACGATATTAAATTAACTCTGCGAAGGAAGGAAGGAAATAGAGGTTAAAAGCATAGAGATCGGAGTTGAATTTCATTCATTTAATTAATTAAAAAATGTTGATTTTCCTGGTATCGCCAGAGAGATCTATGAGATTCTTAAAACCAGTTCTCCTATGGTCTTTGTCAAACTCGTAATGAGAATTTTTAACAGAGTTCCATAAATGCAAATATTATTTATTTATTTTTAATATAAATTAACCTTTCGACTTCGTTGTTCCTGCTTTGTATATTTATTGAATATTGAGTAGACCATTGTTCTGTTCCAATCGTTGATCCCTACATCATCAATCTTGAATCTTCAGAGTAAACGTAGACACGGAATAAACATAAAGTTTTTTTCTTCGACTAGTTAATTAACGATAAAGTAGTTTCATCAAGCACAGCTATAGACTTATACCACTAAAAGCAACTGAAAATATAGATATTCGACAATCTGCATGAAATCGGATATCAGGTGATAATATTGTAGGAACTATCCCGTACGAGTCCTCAATGTTGTAGAATATTCCCTTAAAAGTCACAAGATCTTTACAGAGTACTACACGCTCGCTCGCCGATTACGCAAAGTTTCGCCCACAAAATCTCACACTAACGTCTCGCTCAAAAGTCTCGCTCGAATAATACGCACCAAAATGTCTCTCTCCACTATCCTGCACAAAATGTCCCTCGCTCACGCATTCCCACTCGCTTTTAACACACACCCCCATCCGCTCTGTCTTTCTCATCCTTGCACCCTTCTCACTCGCGTCTTCCGTCCATAGTCAAAATTCACGCGGTCACGTACACGCTTTCCTCACGGCCCAGTCGCTCCCTTCCAGACACTCTTCTTTGTATTCTTTCAGCCACTCAAGATTTTCTAAACGCAGTCACACTGTTTTCCAAACATCGCGGCGCCGGTCCGTCGCAACATGACCTGCTCGCCCTTACACACGCACAACAAGCCATTCATCCCACAATATTAAAACAGATAGCCCATAATCAGAGCCTCTTCAGCTAATGAATGCCTTCAATAAAAAATATAATCAACGTATCTCGTCGAACTTCTATTTCGTCGTGCGCTATCTGCCAAGGTCGAGCAACGTTCGCCGATTCCCGAAGCGCTCGCGTCCCCCTTAATTCCCCCGGAAAACCCCGGGAAAATCCAATTGAAGCTCGGCCGAGCCTCTCCACCGAGGAAATTCAGGTCAAGATAGAACAAGCCCGATCCTCCTACAAATAAAAGACGGGGCCGCGGAATATGGAGCGACCACCGTGGAAATCTTTCGCCCCCTATCGTTTCCGCGGTCCTCTCGCGCGCGCGAGCCACTCCGGTGAATTTGCTCGGCGAACGAGACCACCTGCGCTGATTAATTAGAACCTTTCTGCAAAGGGCGAGGGCGGCGGCGGAAAGGGGGGAATTCAGGACAGATTCAGACGAAAGAAAGCGGAACCCGTTCGTTGGGGAAAAAAGGCCTCGCTCAAGACGTCGAGTTCTGAGCGGTGGATCGAACGGCGAAAATATGGACGGCCGAGGAGACAAGAAAGGCGAGAAGGAGAAAAACTGGTAGGGCGGAAAAATTGAGGGAGGGTTAAGGAAACGGGGTTGAAGCGCTCGGGGATGATTAATGGCGGAGTAATTAAAATTAGAAAGAAAGGGGCGAGAATGTGTGAAAAACTGTTGCGTGGAGGACATTATCCCTTAGAGTGGCAACGTTACTGTGAGCGACGATGAAAATTTCTGCTAATAACGCAGGGAGTAACGGAAGAAAATGTTTACTGTATCTTGTAAACGGTTTAGGACATTGGTATAAGTACTAAAATTGTTATAGACACTTTCCGAGCTAAGCATTTCTCGATAGAATTGCATGGGAATTATCGAAAGAATTTCAGCAAATGACACTCGCAGGGTTAATTTGAATTTCTTTTGAGTTTAGATTGAAGAGGATGAGAGAAAGGGTATTGTGGGTATTGATAACGAAATGTTATCTTGTGCAGATGTTCTATTGGAAACTTGTCAGTTGTAACTTGTCAATCGGAAGAATTTCGCATGTTTTTGGTTACAGGAAGTCGAATATCAGAATTAGTCGGTGAAGGCCGAACTTATCTCCGTACTGTCTACTTGGAATGCAAAATTAAAGATATTTCCTCGCATCGAATTTGAAAAGGTCGACAACTTTAATATATTCGAGACCCAACAATTCATCACAATTACTTTCTTTCAATATAGAAGTTTCCCTAATAACTCATCTATGGACTTACATAAATAT